TGAAAACTGACCTTTTCCAGTCCTGTGGCCACTGCTGAGTTTTCCAAATTTGCTGGCATATTGAGTGCAGCACTTTCACAGCATCATCTTTCAGGATTTGAAATAGCTCAACTGGAATTCCATCACCTCCACTAGCTTTGTTTGTAGTGATGCTTCCTAAGGCCCACTTGACTTCACATTACAGAATGTCTGGCTCTAGGGGAGTGATCACACCATTGTGGTTATCTGGGTCATGAAAATCTTTTTTGTATAGTTCTTCTGTATATTCTTGCCACCTTTTAATCTCTTCTGCTTCTTTTAGGTCCATACCGTTTCTGTCCTTTATTGTGCTCATCTTTCCATGAAATTTCCCCTTGGTTATTTCTAATTTTCTTGAAGAAATCTCTAGTTTTTTCCATTCTATTGTTTTCGTCTATTTCTTTGCATTGATCACTGAGGAAGGCTTTCTTATTTCTCCTTGCTATTGTTTGGAACTCTGCATTCAAATGGGTATATCTTTCCTTTTCTCCTTTGCCTTTCTCTTGTCTTCTTTTATCAGCTCTTTGTAAAGCCTTGTCAGACAACCATTTTGCCTTTTTGCATTGCTTTTTCTTGGGGATGGTCTTGATTGCTGCCTCCTGTACAGTGTCATGAACCTCCGTCCATAGTTTTTCAGGCACTCTGTCTCTCAGATCTAATGTGTTGAATCTATTTGTCACTTCCAGTGTATAATAGCAAGGGATTTGTCTCTTACAAACTATAAAACCGAGTCTTGAGAAATTCTATGTGATCAGGCTGTAAGTCTTGCAGAATTAAAATTTACACTCTTCAAAGGAAGATAGCAGAATCCAGATTATATGATAATGTATCATCAGAATATCCAGTATATAATAAATACTGCTAGACATACAAAAAAATAAGAAATTGTGCAGTGTAACCAAGAAAAAGGACACTAATAGAAATTGACCTTGAAATGGCCTAGATGTTGGATTTAGCAGATAAAGAGATTAAAAAACTATTACAGATATGTCAACAATTTGAAGGAAAGTATGTTCAACTAAATTAAGAAATAATTATAGGAAAGTTTTGTGTTCTCTTGGTCACACTGCATGGGATGCTGGATCTCAGTTCCATGACCAGAGAGTGAACCTGCACCCCTTGCAGTGGAAGCAGGGATTCTTAACCACTGGACCACCAGGGAAGTCCCTGAAATATATTTTGTTAATTAAAAGTATTGCAAAAATTTCATTTATTGTGACTGAGATAAATGCATGATTTTTATTATTCAGAAGATATTTAGTCATTTCTTACATAGGACCCTTGAAGTCCTTTATTTTTTATAAACTGTGGTTGTTTTTAATTTTGGACTTGAGTTGAAGGATAGATGTATTCCTGTTTAATATGTGCTGAAGGTTTTCTTTTCTTTTTTTTTTTTTAATTAGCCCAGAGATTGGACAGAGATTTAAAAAAACTAAGCTATTCTATTCTAATTATTGAGACTAGCAAAGAGAGGAAATTGAGGAAAGCTCAGCAACTATTAAAGAAACTCACTTACTATGTACTTTTATAATCAGAGAGATTGAAACCTTAATTAAAGATGTATAGTCTCCTTGTGTGTGTGTGTCTGTTTGCTTAGTCACTCAATTGCGTCTTGACTCTTTGTGACCCTATAGACAGTAGCCCGCCAGGCTTCTCAGCTTAAGAGGTGGCAAATGACATGGTAACTTGGCTTTCAGAGAATAATTTTTTCTTTTAAAGAACTTTCAAATGTCAGTATTTTCTTTTATTATTATTCTATTCTCCATAATATACTAGAAATCAAAACAGAAGACAAACTTCACATTAATATGATCAAATGCTAAGTGAAATGTCTAGGATTGTTTAATTCTAGAACCTAAACTTCTCAAAATTTTGTAATAAATTTGTTTTAAGTGATACTTCTGTACAAGTTATGCTTTTAATTACCTGAGTGTCATTATAAAAACATTTTATGCTTGGCAAAACAGAAATTAAGAATAGTTTCAGTTATAATATTTGAAAATTCCACTCAAGTATTATCTTCCCTAGGAACCTTTTCCAAAAACTTTGCTTTGGGTAAGTCTGGTTGCATGGTATTATAAGAGCACAGATTGTGAAACCAAATGGTGAAGTCTGCTACAGGTTTGTCACTTACCATATTATCTGCCTTTCTTTACAATAAAAGTTCCTTGAAGATAAGAATCATGTTTTATTAATCTTTGAACCCCGTGTGTTTTGTATATAATCTCTGGCATCTTTAAGATGACCAGTTACTTACTGGATTTCATTATTTGCTGTAAACATGCTGTATATTACTAATGCCAAACATGAGCACAGAAATGTCTGGTAGCTATTTTATATTATTCATTCTAGGGTTTCCCCTCCAATTAGAATAGTCATCTATTTTATATGTGTATACATTATTTATTGAGGTGGAGGTACTTATGTTTTGAATGGAATTTTTTTTTCTGATTTTTAAATGTACTTTAAATATTAGGTCTTGGAGAAAATGCTTGTGCAAGGAAAAGTCATGAAAAATACCTTATAGCTTTGAAGAGCTCTGGACTTACATATCCTGAGGATAAACTTGTATACGGTATACAAGAGCCATCTGCTGGCGCTAGCACTCTGGCAGTTCAAGGTTTGTTTAAATATTTAATTTGAACAATGGTAATTTTTCTGTATTAAAACAAGAAACCCCTCAAGCTTTACTCATTATTGAAGAAATTTAAGTGCTGTGTCATTCTTTGTAAGGAAAGTAATAAAAATAGTAAAAATTTGTAAGCAAGAAAGGATAGGTTAGTCAAAGAAGATACTCTGTTTTTCTTCAAAGGGATTCAGTTAGTTTATCAAAGGTTCTAGTTTGAACTCATGAAAAATGTAGCAGTTGCTATTTAATAGTAGCCCAAAACTTTAGTAGTTCAATATTTTAGTAAACCATGGTTTAAAAAGAAAAGAAAGCAATCCTTCTGAAACATTATTTGTGATGATTAAATCTGGGTTTTCACTGGAGGTTTCCTATTGGAAGTATAAACTGATTGGGCCCAGATTTATTAAAGATAAGTGTTGAATTCTGCCAAGATAACTGTTAGAATGAGTTATCTTAACAAAACTCTAGCTTTTGATATTGTTATGTTGTAAAATAATTTTAAGTTTAAAGCAATATGTAACAGTTATGAAGGGCAGCGTTTTTCTCCTTTCCGAAGGCTTTGCAAGTGCAGCAGGAACATTGGGACAACTAGATTCTTCAGATGAGGTGAGTTACCATTTAACATTTAAAAAGTAGAATTTAAAAGTTTTAGAAATATCATACAAATTTGTGGATATTTTGTAGTTGAGATTCTTCATTTTGTAGACATGGACACTGAAGCTCAGAGTGGAATAACTTAGTCAAGGTCACAGAATTACTTAGTGACAGGATGAGGACTGCAACTAGATTTTTACTTCTTATTTGTAAATTCATTTCTCTTTTCATAGTTTAGAAACAAGAGCTAGGAAGTCATAGATACTTCTCCTATGAAAATATCCCCAAATTTATCCAAGTGGTGGTCATATGTACAAATTATTAAAAAAAAAATTAGTTAAGTCTAGAATAATTTGCTAGAAGAATATGAAATGTGCTTCTTTTCTAATCTCATAATAAGTTATATCTTATATCTCAAGAGTTATTAAAAGCAAAGTACTGAGAAATAGGCTGTCAGTTTGAAATGTCAAATTTTATAGTTTATTAGTAATATTTCTAATAAATTACATATAATATTCCTGTAGTTTGTTAGTATACAATTTATAAGGAAAAATTTCTTTTTGATCTCTATTTGTTTATAATCTTGGTTTTTATAAAACTTAAATTTCATATTTTTATTGATTTGTACATTTAATGTTGGACATTCTAAAAACTAAATTGTTTTTAAGCATTTACATTTTTTTCCTTTGAAAAAACCCATTTAGATGTGATAATGTCATATGAACTAAGCCAAATATCCTTCTTTTGAAAGCACGATTTCTTTTATGGATATGTTGCAATTGGTCTGATGCCTTATAATTTAAAGTTTGTAGTAGCATGTTTCCCTGTAAGAAGGCTCATTTAATTAACAATTAACAGGAACTTGTTAATTTTCAACAAATGGGACAGTCAGTTTAGTATACTACTTTTTTTTTTTTTTTAGTATACTACTTTTGAATAGCCAGTGGTGACTTTAATTGTACATAAGTACATTGTAGCGACACCATATTTTATGGTAGGGTGCTGGAAGGAGATCCTTCTGTGTGAGTGCACGCCCAGGGTAGGGGTGTAGTGCTTTTGAATTTCTTCTAGAAGTAACTTTGTGAGGGATATCAGAGGATTTGAAATAGGGCCTTTCTTTGTTCATTACCATTGCTTTCACTTTTCTTCTTTAGGTCCTCTCTGTGTTCCTTCTGTTCATTTCTCTTGGATTCTTTGTTTCAGCAACTTCTATGTGTAATATAATTTATATAATCATTTGCTCCTTAATTATGATTATGTTTCAGTAAATACTTGTTGATGGTGACAACTTCAAAATACTTAATTTCAATTTGCATCCTCATAAAATGCTATTTTTGTGATTGTAGCTGAGACCACCTAGAGTTTGTGAAGTATACTTTATATTTAAAGACAGTAAGATTTTTTTGATCTTTAAATTGTTTTTTATAACTAAACTTTTAGTTTATTTAAAAGTACTTTTTAACTAACAATAAAACCTATGACCCAGCAGTCCCACTACTGGGCATATACCCTGAGAAAACCATAATTCAGAAAGACACATGCACCTCAATATTCATAGCAGTGCTATTTACAATTGCCAGGACATGGAAATGACCTAGATGCTCATCGATTGATCAGTGGGTAAAGAAGTTGTGGTACATGTATACAGTGGAATATTACTTAGCCATAAAAAGGGATGAATGTGAGTCAGTTGAACTGAGGGGTATGAACATGGAGCCTGTTATACAAGTGGAGTAAGTCAGAAAGAGAAAAACAGATATAGTATATTAATACATATATATGGAATTTAGATGCTTTTGAACTGTGGTGTTGGAGAAGACTCTTGAGAGTCCCTTGGACTGCAAGGAGATCCAATCAGTCCATCCTAAAGGAGATCAGTCCTGGGTGTTCATTGAAAGGATTGATGCTGAAGCTGAAACTCCAATACTTTGGCCACCTCATGTCATGAGAAGAGTTGACTCATTGGAAAAGACCCTGATGCTGGGAGGGATTGGGGGCAGGAGGAGAAGGGGACGACAGAGGATGAGATGGCTGGATGGCATCACCGACTCGATGGGCATGAGTTTGAGTAGACTCCAGGAGTTGGTGATGGACAGGGAGGCCTGGTGTGCTGCTATTCATGGGGTTGCAAAGAGTCGGACACGACTGAGCTGTCTGACTGACTGACTGAGGGAATTTAGAAAAATGGTACTGATGATCCTGTTTGCAGGGCAGGAATAGAGATGCGGACATAGAGTGGACTTGTGGACCCAGCAGGGGAGGGAGAGGGTGGGATGAATTGAGAGAGTAGCGTTGATATATATTCACTCCCACGTAGTAAAACAGATACCTAGTGGGAGGCGGCTGTATAACACAGGGGGCCCCGCCTGGTGCTCTGTGATGCCCTAGAGGGGTGGCATGGCAGTGGGGTGGGAGGGAAGCTCAAGAGGAAGGGCTTATGTGTATATACACTTACGGCTGATTCACTTTGTATGGCAGAAACCAGCGCAACATTGTAAAGCAGTTATCCTCGAATTAAAAAAAAAGTACTTTTTATACTTTATGTATTTATCGTATTCTTTAATTGGGATGAAGATGGGGTCATTCGAACATCTGAAAACTTAAGAATTTGAAGTAGAGTTGTTCAGCTGGATGTAAATTGAAGAGATACCCACTTTGGTTTTTCTTTAAAAGGAACTTGAGCTTTTGTTAGGCAGATCTGAGTTTGAATATTGCCTCATAGTATCGCAATGCTTTCTGCCAGGTTTTAAGCTTCTCAATATGAATTTTCTCATGAAAAACTGGTGATTATTTTAGTATTAGGATTAAAGGGAATGATGTACGTACTGCCTCTCATGAACCAGATACAAATTAGGCTCTTGATAAATGTTTTTTGTCCTAGTGCTTTGTATGTAGAAGGGATTCAGTACTGAAATTTTCAGCTACCGTGGGTCATATGATAGACATTTTTGCTTGTCTTTCCAGAGAAAATAAGTTTATTAAAGCATGGATTAAGAGTAATGAAGTTTAGTTTTAAAATTTTAAATTGAAAGTTTACTCAAATTTTATACATTGTAGTTGTTTTACCAGTATTCTGAAATATGAATAAGCTACAGTTTATCCAGTCTTTTTATAATTTCCAATTTTTTATTATAAGATACAGTGCTTGTTTTTCTTTTCAAGCAGATAACTCTCTAAGGTATGGAATTGCTTGACTACAGGGTGAAAAGTGAAAGTGTTAGTTTTTCAGTTGTGTCTGACTCTTTGGGACTCCATGGAGTGTAGCCCGCCAGGTTTCTCTGTTCATGGGATTTTCCAGGCAAGAATACTGGAGTGGTAGCCATTCCTTTCTCCAGGGATCTTCCTGACCTGGGGATCAAACCGGGGTCTCTTCTGTCTCCTGCATTGGGAGGCAGATTCTTTACCACTAGTGGCATCTGGAAAGCCCCAAGCTATAGGGTAGGCATATCTTAAATTTTATTAGATTGTATGTTTCTGTTTAAAAAAGGCACACACACATATTTATATTTAAGATGACAAGTATCGAAAAGTACAAAGACCAGACCATTACCCAGGGCCAGTCATAGAAGAGTTTTAGTGATAGGAAAATTTCTATTTTAAGATTGCAGTCATAATTTTTTTAATAAAAAATTTCATATATGTTTTTATTGACCTACATACTAACAAAGTCAAATCTTGAGCTAGAAATAGGAAAGTTGTATAATATAGCAAAACAAAAATGAAAATCAGAAGGAGGCAATTTGAAGGTTTAAAAAATTATGAATTCTAGAGCGTTCCTCTTGCCTAACTTGTAGATGAGGAAGCTGAATGATCCACTCGACAGGTGAATTCCATCTCATTAGTAGTAGAGTTGCAAATGGATGCTAGGTCTCCTCTCTGCTGGTCTAGAGTTTTTAGTGTAAGTTGGATAAACCCAACCGTTCTTATTATTTCTGTGCAGCAAATTTGTCCTAAACTTTGTTGCTTACAATTACCATTTTTTGTTTTGTTAACAATTTTATGACTCAGAAATTTGGGAATGGCAGCTGGGCAGTTCTCACTTAGGTTATCTTATGAGATTCCTGTGATTTGTTGGCTGAGAAACTAAAGTCATCTGACAGGTCAGCTGAACTGGAGATATAAGATGCTTGGACGGGGCTACCTGTTGGTGCTGGCTGTGCACAGGGGGCTCCGCCTGCATGTGGCTTCTCCAGCACGAGGTCTCAAGTTGTTGGACTTCTCGTGTAGTTGTGGCTTTTCCTAATGTGAGTAACTCCAGAGCAGCAGCTGTGGAGCCTTTTCTGTGTTAGACTTGGAATTTTACATGCTATCACTTCTACTGCATTCTGTTCCTTATGAGTTGGCTAAGGTGGGTTCAATGCAGAAGGAGGCAAATTCCAACTCTCAGAAGATAGGAATGTCAAAGAGTTTGTAAACATGTTTCAAAATTTCCACAACCAGGATGTGAAATTTGCTATTCTTTTTCCTGGATTCTCTTGGTAGCCTAGAAATGACTGGTGATTATAGCTAAATACAATACCAGTAATTTATTATGTATTTTCCTGTCTATTTAGGTGGTACTTGTCTGTTTGGGAAAACTATAACATGATAATGAAATACCACTTTAGCCATAAATGGCAACTGTAGGGTTTTAAAGAAGATCGAAGTTTTCCTTAGTAGAATAGTTATATTATTATATCTCAAGAGAATGAAAGCTTATATTTAAAGTTAGAAGAGAGTTTTTAAAAAATTGATCTTTGCCTTTGTAGAATGAAAAGGGACATATTAAAATTTTACAGGATTCATTGCAGCTTAAGGAACAGAATATAGTTTTGAATTTGATTAAAACGGAAACTAAAATTATCATAACTTTTCTGCTAATCTTGGGGTCTCTTGTGCTTTTATTTCTTAATGAGAAACTTTATTTTATTGGGACCAGTGATTTGGATGGAAAAAGCTTCCTTTTGTGTCTAGGTAATCATAAATAGAAGTTAATTGAGTTTTAATGTGATATATTTAGAGGGAAAATATAA